TTCCCCTTTTGAAGAATCATAAGTTAAAAAGAAACAAAGCAAACTTTGCCAATTTAAGATTAACTGGCTTGCAATAGACCAAATATTGTTCATGTTATCAGCTGCTAATCCAAACATGAACTTCTCAGCTTTTTACAGACACATTGTATGCTACCTTTTCAGGAAAGAGGTTTCTTTCCTTGGTGGTAAGAAACCTTACAAGACTCTTTTGAAGAATCATAAGTTAAAAAGAAACAAAGCAAACTTTGCCAATTTAAGATTAACTGGCTTGCAATAGACCAAATATTGTTCATGTTATCAGCTGCTAATCCAAACATGAACTTCTCAGCTTTTTACAGACACATTGTATGCTACCTTTTCAGGAAAGAGGTTTCTTTCCTTGGTGGTAAGAAACCTTACAAGACTCGGATGACTGACTGTTTAGTACTGTAATTCCGAGATAACATTCTTTCCATAATTCATGTACTACCCACTCCTTCACAGTGGGATATTAGACATTTCAGCAGTATTGGCATAACTAATCCATTTATTTGCTTACTAAATACCCAAGGGGCGAGGAAAAATAGCAAGTGTTTTAAGTCTTAGGGTACATCTACACTTGCTCCCTAGTTTGAGCTAGGGATGTAAATGTAGGCGACAAATTGCTAACGAAGTGGAGATTTAAATATCCCGCACTTCATTAGCATGATCTCGCCGGCGCGTTACTCCACTCAACAGCTGATTCAAACCAGGAAGTGCACACCAGGATGCATTTGTTTGAACCAAACTCCTTGGTCTGAACTAACATTACTCCTCAAAAAATGAGGAGTAATGTTAGTTTGAACCAAGGGGTTCGATCTGAACTAATGTGGCCCGAAGAGCAATTTCACTTTCCAATCAGCTGGCGTTCGGAATAGCGTGCAGCCGAGATTAGACTAATGAAGCACGGGATATTTAAATCCCAGTTTCATTGACTATTTCAAATGCCTATATTTGCATCCCTAGTTCGAACTAGGGTGCAAGTGCAGACATACCCTTAGTGAGATCCAACAATAGGACAGGCATTACTGGCTGGCACAACAAGAAATTAAATTAAGTAAAAAGTGGGAAAATATAAGAGAAAGGGAAATGCCAAACACATAATAGTTTGCTTGATGGCTTTGAATTGAGGGATGGAAGAAAACAGGTTACATCTGAAAAAAAAAAGTTTATAAATATGTTAAGGTAAAACATTTAGATACCACTTTTCCTAACTTTAGTGAAGTCAACTATTTTGTGAATTCTTTTCTCAGTTCCTCCACATCCACCGTAGCAGAATGTTTTCCTTATTTCAATGGGAGAATTCTTTGATACCTTACCCTCTTAACAATGGTTTATGGGGACTCAAAAGATGTTCACACACACTAGCTGGCAAGCCTGTACCTTTCAGGATTATAGCTCTCTAAATAAGTTTGATTTACCGTAGTTTCCAGTGTATAAGGCGACTGGGCGTATAAGACGACCCCCTAATTTTCTAGTTAAAACATAGGTTTTATGCCTATACTCGCCGTATAAGACTACCCCCCCTTAAGAGGCCAACCGGCAGCGCCCCAGCTGCTCTGCCCCAGGGTCCACAACAAAAGCCTGGTGGATTATAGCTCTCTAAATAAGTTTGATTTACCGTAGTTTCCAGTGTATAAGGCGACTGGGCGTATAAGACGACCCCCTAATTTTCTAGTTAAAACATAGGTTTTATGCCTATACTCGCCGTATAAGACTACCCCCCCTTAAGAGGCCAACCGGCAGCGCCCCAGCTGCTCTGCCCCAGGGTCCACAACAAAAGCCTGGTCTGCTGGGGGAGG